CACTATTTATTCGAACATTGCAACAACGACTATTCGAACATTGCAACGACAAAGAACTGAATGCAAAATCACAATTATATAATGCATGAACAGACATTCTCTTCTTTTATTTACAATTAGTGTAAGTACATCTATCAATGTTGATTTATATTCAAGCAAAAAAATTTCATTCGTATTTGAACTACCCATGCAAGATTTAACATGTTTAATATTATTCCAAAAAATTAAGATACTTTGGCTGAAATTCTATATTGTATTGTTATAATTATAGTATAATATTTCTGTAGACAAATTCAAAGGAATAATTTAACTAATTCTATATGATAAAAAGATATAAAAATGTTAATTAGAGCATGGCTTTTTCTTACAATAGCACTATTGCTAAAATATTATTTAGCGTCACATGTAGTCGAGTAAAAAACAAAGCGTGTTCTATTTGCTAGTAGTAAAATTGAAATTTCAGCCAGTATCTCAGATTTTCGGAATAACATATGTTCCTATTATATTACAACTTTTCACGATGTACTGAAATAAAAATCTGTGCTAAAATTCTTATACAAGTTGAACAATTTTAAGATTGATATATTCATTTTTGTTTATAATTAAATGGCAAGCAAAAAGTTTTTTAAAAATGGTTTTATGCGGAAGTAAATATAAATAGATATAAATTCAATTTTAATTTTTAATTTTTAATGGATTTTAATTTTTAATGGAAAAAAATACATGATAAGTATACGAGTTTTATGTTTAAAATTTAAACTTAACGAAAATAATTCCAGTTGTAGTCATTGTTTTTATCTCTGACATGTTTAAAATAAATTTTAAATAAAGAAAGTTTCTTTTTTTTATAATTATTCTCAATAAATTCCCGATCATAAAATTTCTAATCGTCTATTTCGCCGACGAGTAATGATCACAAAGGAGGCAGCAATTTGGTGGTTACGTAGATTAAGACGCAGCTACTGTGCATTGGCAGAATGCAGTGATGCGTAAATCGTGAACAGGACGGATACATATGAGAGAAAGAGAAAGGGTAAGACCGAGTATAATGGCTTTCCAATGTACCGTGCAAGTGCGAAGCGAAATACTGGCGTGAAATATTTATCGCTAAACAGTCGAGATAATGCACGCGCAAACTAGAATTTACTTGGTGGAAGTAGTAAGAAGAGCGTTACCAGCTCTTCATTCTGCTCTCAAGATCGTTTTACGTTAATTCTCTCAGCACTTCAGTGAGTATCACATTACTCGCATTTCCTGTAAAAATATTTTTCGCATACTGTGTTATAAATTCAATTAGTTTTAATTTTTTATTACAATTTAATTGCGCTGTGTACATCATACATCAAGTTCATGTAATTTAGTAGGTAGTTAGTAAAATATATAATATTATGAACAAAGTTAAAAAACTCTTTTTTTATAAAAAAATAGTCTGTGCGAAATTAAACAACTTTTCACGAAATCAGTGAGCATCTAGGGGAAAGGAAATTATTTATATATAAGTCTGTTTTGATGTCTTCCATCATCATATGACTGGTAGAATAGGATTCACGTAGTTACTACTGCATTCATTTGTTTTGCCTGAAGTTTCTACTACCTCAGTTCGGTAGCAACGTTTAGTTACTTGATATTTATTACTCCGCATCTCCCATCCACTTTGCTATTCTCGACTCTCGACAGTAAAGATGGTGCACATTAATTTAGTTAACGTCCACAATACAAGACTCATACTTCTTTTAGTTTATAAGCTAAATTTAAGAATAAAATCTTTGGACTATAGAAAGAATAAACGGACGACATTGAGTGTATTATATGCATAACGTTCCATGAGTCATCTTCTTCCATGGCGACAAGTTTGTCATTTTCCGTAAATCACAGGAATGTTTTCTTTATAAAAGTCTTTACAAAGGGTCATTTATTTTCTTTACATTGTAATCACATCTATTTTATGCTGATTTTATTTGCATGTGCTACTTATGCTACATGTCATATCTTGTATAGAGATTTAGATTATATTTCGCGACATCATTTCTTGCATAATAATAAAATATTACATTAAAGACATAATTATAAACATAAGAAAATTTAATCTTTTCAAATTATTACTACAAATCAATACTTATATGTAAGGGAAAGTAGTACAAAACTGGATAGGCGTTGTCTTGATGCAACGTTTGTTATGTCATTGAGCAAGACGGTAATGTTGTGAATATCTAATATTTTTTAATGCAAAGTTTGAATAGGTACTCGCCTACCTGATTTTTTTGTATTATGTTTCCTTAATAATATTTATAATTATATATATATTTATATATCATTTATATATCACATTTATATATATATATTTATTTTATTTTTTGATACGCACGATGTGATAATAATTTATTTGAAGATTTTTTTGTCTTCTTTTATATCTTTCTTTACATACTCATTGAATATTCATAATGAGGGACAAGAATCATTCATATTATATATTCGTATATATTATATATATATTATATTACATATTCGTCTATTTATTCATGTCTTTGTCAATCTTTCTGTTTTCATTAATATAATTTTGGTATATCATATTACAGAAATAATTAATAAAAACAAATATTGAAAATAAACAATTAAAATTTTTATTTGTCATCGTTTAATATTGCGATTGCTAGATAAAGAAACAAGAATTAACAACTCTACATTGTAAAAATGAATTTTTATTTTCTAATGAGAAGTTTCTTATTATTATTGCCTTCTTATTATTGTTGGACGCAACATAAAAATGAATTCAACTATTGCTGACAGAGTGAAAGATTCATCAATCGTTGTATTATCGAATACGTAATATGCGTTGTCAAAGTCATGACTCTAAGTGATCTCCAATAGGTTTTAGTCGTCGCTCATTGCTCGTTAAAATTTTGTTAAAAAATAAATAAAGTGAACAATATAAACGTGTGTTTAACTGTATAATTTGAATTTTTAAATCTAATCCGATACACATTTTCGTATGGAGTGGCTCTCGCTTTGCATTGTAAAGTGTACGCGTGAAGATAGTATGGCTGCGTTCCACGCATAATATGCATGATATATGATTTTATCCTTATTTGACACTCGGCAAAAGACAAGGATAAAATGATACATTTATGCGCATTATAAACGGAACGCAGTGTGTGTATCCCCCCCTCCCTCCTACAAGAAAACATACTATTTCTACGCGTACACTTTATAACGGACAATCGAAAGCCTCTAAGCAACGGTGAAATATATAAGGTAAACTCCGCTTTGCGTGGAAAATTTTGATGTGAAGGGAGGGTATGGAATAGTTTTTAAGTTTGGTGACCATCTTATTAATCTTGGAGGAAATAACTAAATTGAATATATATATATATATATA